AAATATATATATATGTGTTTTTATTTATATGAAAAGGTTGTCAGTAGATTTTTTGTAATTGAAAGGGACATAGGGAAAAAATATTTTAGGTATATATTTTTTTTTAAAAACTACCTTTTGAATTTAGAATGATTTTACTAAAATTCACCCAAAAGTGGAACATTTTAAATTATGTATTTTTTACGTGATTATTAATGTTTATTTATATGAAAAGTTTGTAATTTTTTTTAACTGAAAGGGACACAGAAAAACATATTTTAGATATATATTTTAGATATATATCCAGTATTAACAATATTGGCAAATATCGTCCGATCAATCAGCCAGACTGATTGATGGTGTTGTCTTGAGGTGGCTAGAGTCGGCTTACTATAGTATATACATACTTTCCATGCCCAACAGCAGTATGTGAATATTAGGATGAAGCCAAGGTCTTCACTCTCTCTTTGTTCTCTCAACAGCCTATGAACGGCCTTCCTACGGCCCAGACGTGCTTCTTTCAACTGCGCCTTCCTCCCTACACGAGCCAGGCCATACTAGCCGAGCGCCTACGCTATTCCATTCATAACTGCCCCTCCATAGACATGGACAACTACATGCTGTCACGCAACACCGACCCAGCGGACGCCTCTGACACCGAGTACTGACGCGACGCTCGCAAAAACAGATGCTATTACGCTACAAAGCACAACATAATCTCATAAATGCCTGCGGTTGCACTTCTTCCTCATACATGCAATACAATTCTCAGTCACTAAACCTCACGTACGTTTTACGTACTCTCTGCGGTATCCAGAATGCGCTGCAGATGCCAGTTCTTCCACAAGGTCAATGGGAGAATATTTAAGCAATTCAATTCTTTATTTATTCATTTTCATTCGTGTCTCTGAATGTTGCAGGAAACTTCTTAAAACTAAAAAATATTACAATACCGTTACAAGCGCCGTGCCTGGAATAGTCGCAAGGTTTTTTTCTCTTGGCGTTAGCGACAGAAACTGGGGTCAGTTTGTAGGTGAGCACTTGGCAGCTAGCTTCCTGGCCCAGTTTATGCCAAAGGCTATTAAACTACTGTACTGTAATGTACTCAATACCTTCTGACTCAGTGGAAAAAAAAAAAAAGTACTGTGAGTCTGAGAAACAACGTGTCTCTGAATGTTGCAGGAAACTTCTTAAAACTAAAAAATATTACAATACCGTTACAAGCGCCGTGCCTGGAATAGTCGCAAGGTTTTTTTCTCTTGGCGTTAGCGACAGAAACTGGGGTCAGTTTGTAGGTGAGCACTTGGCAGCTAGCTTCCTGGCCCAGTTTATGCCAAAGGCTATTAAACTACTGTACTGTAATGTACTCAATACCTTCTGACTCAGTGGAAAAAAAAAAAAAAGTACTGTGAGTCTGAGAAACAAGTCCCAGAGCGATCTTCGTTTGGGCGTTTGTATCACGCTAGCTTGTATCCTAAATGAATGTATACTTGCAAATGCCATGCACGTGTGCACTCGAATCTTTTATTTGCCAAATACTGTACTGATGCTGTACATTACATAGGATTTATTGAATTTTAGCCTTTTTTTTTGCAACTGTGAAACAGCGCGTGGAGACGTTTGGTGATTTTTGTGTTCGTCTGTGCATTCTCACAGAGCGAGAGTGCAGGTTTGTTACGCTATGCTGATTGGTCATCAGTGTTATTATGTGCTTCGGGCTTGTATGCCTCAGTGCTGGATGTAAACATGTTTTGACTGTTTTTACTGGTGTGTTTGATAGAGGAGAGTCCCTCCTTACTCTCGAACCTTCTGTATGAGGTGGTTTACAGTATCGGTAAATTATTATTATTTGTTGTTTTCCTGAAATATTTATCTGAGTGAGCTTTATGTGTTGGAAAGACTACTAATGAGGACTCATATGGCTCTTGCGCTGTTTTGCACTTTAGATCTGTATGCATTGCGCTTTAGCATATGAGGAAAATCATATTCACTATAAGATTTCAGACTCATTTATCTAGAGATTCTCCTAAACCTAGCCACTAATGATATAAACCTCTTGGCTGATTTTTTTTTTTTTATGGAAGACTCCTGAACTAACTTTAACATGAAAGATGACTTTAAGGCTGATTCGTTAGGCTATGATATGGTGGTATTTGTTGATGCTCAAACTTCAGATTAAGCCATAAAACAAACCAATTCAAGAAGTCTCCTGAAACTGTATGATGTTTTATGGCGATGGCCTCTCAGATGGAAGATGCATTGTACTGTAAATTAAATTGTGTACAGACTTTCGTGTCAGCTTTGTGTTTCTATTCCAGCTATTCTAGTGCAATCAGAGTCTCACGTTTCCAAAGCCCAGTCGAGGGAAAATCGATCAACTCATCCGAAGGATTGGAAGTTGCACGCTGGGAAGTTGGTTGTGATTCAGTACATATGCAGTACAGATGTGCTTAAAACACTCTCTACACAAGTACTGAAACACAACTGTGTTGTCTGATTCACAAAATTGACTCTTTTGATTCACTTCTTTGTAGTGAATCACAAGCATTCAGTCCAACCAGTGTAGCTTGAAACAAATTATTCTTAAAGGGATTGTCTGCCTGAAAATGAAAATTCTGTCATCGTTTACTCACACTCATGTTGTTGTATGAGTTTTTTTTTTTTCTTCTGTTGAACACAAAAGGAGATATTTTGATGAATGTTAGTAACTAAACAGTTTCTGGTCCCCATTGATTTCCATAGTACGGGGGGGGGGAATACCAGCAACTGTTTAGATACCAATAAGAGTTTCTTTCTTCTGTTGAGCACAAAAGAAGATATTTTGAAGAATGTTGGAACTAAGCAGTTTCTGGTCCCCATTGATTTCCATAGTACGGGGGGGGGGGAATACCAGCAACTGTTTAGATACCAATATCCTTCAAAATATCTTTTGTGTTCAGTAGAAGGAAAAAATTCATATAGATTTGGAACAACTTGAGGACAGAACTTTCATTTAGGGTGAACTATACCTTTAAGAGTCTTTTAATGAATAGTTAAAAAATACTGCCATTTAAAAGTTTGGTTGGTACTTTTTTTTAAAGAAATTTCAAGATTAATAATAATAAGAAATGTTTCTTGAGAACCGAATCATATTAGAAAGATTCTGAATGATTATGTGACACTGAAGACTGAAGTAATGTAGTAATTTAAAATATATTCACAGTTAAAATAGTTATTTCAAATTGTAATAATATTTCACAATATTACTGATTTTTACAGTATTTTTGGTCAAATAAATGAACTTGTATGATTTTCTTTCATCTGTTAAACACAAAAGATATTTTGAAGAATTTTGGTAACCAAACAGTTGCTGGTAGCCATTGCCTTCCATAGTATTTTCCCCCCATACATCAATGTCTGCCAGCAATTGTTTGGTTAACAACATTCTTCAAAATATCTTTTTTTTATGGACTGTACAACTCATAGAACTCATTTTTGGGTGAACTATCCCTTTAAGTTATGCATATGACATTTTTACAGATTACATTCTCCCATGGTTATTTGGACAAATATGGTTGTAAAAATGCCCCCCACCACTAAGCCACCAACTGTACTCTATATTCAATTAGCAGCAGGGTCTATCAGATGACCTCTCATGATCAAACTGAGCACTGTTTTATCATGCTGCGATAATTCAGCTGAGCACAAGCGCATTTTTAGTTTCATTACTCAATTACAATCCTATTTTCAGTCAAACAAATCATTTATTTCCATCTTGCTTCATAGGAATCCCATAACAAAAGCTAATCAGATTATGCTAAGTGTTGAAGTGGTACAATCAAGCTAAATGTGATGGAAAAGGGGCCAAACGGGTTTAAAATCGCAGACCACCGTTAGCACAAAGATGGCCGTTTCGTTCCCCTCCTGAGATGCTATCGTTTTGATAAATTGTGCATGCCACCCGTCCTCTGAGACAAGAGGAAAGCGATTGTGATAATGAGCATCCTTGACTTGCTCCAGTGAATTATGGGAGGAAGTTAAACTCGCCACTGATGACTGAGAGGAGAAAAGAGGAGGGGAAATGCTGATCTCAGCTGCTTTGATGTATTAGAGAGCTTGTATTCATGCAGGTCTGGAGAACCATCCTGAAGAGCCGCAATCATCATCTCAGGCTGCTGCTGATGACATGGACTTGAGAGTTTAACTCGCTGTTATGCAATGTGAAGCTCTTCAGTGGTCAGATCAACAAATTTGGAGGTAGCCAGACTTTTGAGTAACAGCATACAATCTGAATCAGTTTGCATCTTAGTTCACACTGTCCCAACAATTTCCAACCACCATTAAAAGTTGGTGTTTGTTGGGGACACAATGTGAATTAGCCTTTATTATAACCGAGACGCACCAACTTGGACCTCTAACTGAGACCATTTAATTGACATACAACCAAATTATGATTTTGAACATCGTGACGTAGACATGTGGGGGCGTGTTAGAACAAACCGTTTTAGGTAGGCATGGTTGACTCTTAACTTTTATAAAGAATATCTCTTTGGATTTGAGACTTTAGTCTTTGCAACTTTACAGATCTTCTTTATGCACCAAGAGCTTGTAACACTCCAAAGAGAAAGGAAAAATTTAAATCGCATCATATGACCCCTTTAAGTGAATTTGATTGGTTAATTGATGACCCGGCACAACTCCTAATTGTAGCACTATCACTGTGACTTACTGAATGGTCTGTCAGCATCCATGAAACTCATTCCTCAGAATGTTTGTTTGCGAGGGGAAAGTGTGCTGCTGGCTGACCTTATTAGGCATCTGTTTTATGCATGTACCTGTGTGAGATTCCCGCCGCAGTCAGCAGCCTTGCAGCTGGTCCAGGGACGGTGGAGTCATCAGCTCGCGGCTGTTTTTATAGGGTCATTCATCTATCACGGGCACAGCGCACAAATTTAGAAAGGGCATTGGAGAATGTCAAACCAAAACATTACCACTGAGCAAGAGCTGCACGCAAAGACCAAGAATGAGAACGAAAGAAACGATTCTAAATAAGAAGTTTTATTAGTGTGTGTCTGAATCAAATCTGTGATATAACCCACTCGGCAGTCAGCCCCATGCCTTTGACCGAAAGAGGCCATGAAACGTAAAGATGTGGATAATGCTGAGGTATATGAAACTTTGAAATCACATGGGGAAACAGAAGTGGGTGAGTTCCCATTTAAATACGTATGAGACAAATAAACTCCCTCCAGCATATCCGAGTCATCTGTAATCCATACAAACTATAGGATTTGAGATAGAGTTTTATGTAGAGTACAAAAAAGGCACCATTTTTGTAGTTTAAATAGTGCATCAAAGCAAATACAGTATTGCGTAAGGGAGAGTGGGGTAAGATGTGTCAGTGTTAAGCTCTGCTGCACAGTCAATATTTGTCATGTGACTGACCATATATTTCTATTTCATATAGCTCATCATAGCTGTCTGTGATTGAGAGATGCAAATGTGATTATTTATTTATTCATGAATAAATTAATAGACTTAATTTATGTATGTATGTATGAGGGCAGAGTTAATATAGTAAACTAAAACAAAAAAAAGTTACTTTAATATAAATATAAACATAAACTAAAATAAAATACAAAAAAAAACATTTCAGCTATTTTTAGTTCAGCTATTTTTTTCATTGAGTTCAACTTGATGTAGTAAAACTAAAAATAAACAGAAATAACAATTAACAAATTGTAAACATTTAAAAAATAAAAATTACAAAAACAGAAGTGAAAATTAAAAAAATAATTCAATATATAAAAAAAATCTATAATAGTATCTCACTGATAGTAAAATAATGCTGTGTCAAAGCAATATATTATATATATATATATACATATATAT